GGGGGGGGAGAGTGGGGAGCTGGGAACCTGGGGGTGGTGGGGGCACAGGGACCACGGGGACCCAGGGATGGTGGGAATGGGGGGGCAATGGGGGCAATGGGGAGCTGTGGACTGGGTGGGGGTCACGGGGAGCCGGGCAGAGGTGATGGGAGCACAGGGACAACAGGGACCCGGGGATGGTGGGGACAACAAGGAGCTGGGGGCAGTGGGAAGTGTGGGGACAGTGGGGGCCTATGGGATGGGTAGGAATAAAGGGAATAACGGGGGCAGCGGGAATAGGGGGAACAGTGGGGGCAATGGGGAGCTGTGCACGGGGTGGGGGCCATGCAGAGCCGGGCACAGTGGAGATGGGGGGGGTCACAGGGACCTTGGGGACAACAAGGAGCTGGGGGGCAACGGGGGACCCCCTGACCCCCCCCGTCCACCCCCTGCCCCCAGGAGAACCACTGCCTGCGCATCAAGATCCTGGGCGACTGCTATTACTGCGTGTCGGGGCTGCCGGAGGCGCGGGGCGACCATGCGCACTGCTGTGTGGAGATGGGGGTGGACATGATTGAGGCCATCTCGTGAGCACGGGGGGCGGGGGGGGGTCGGGGTCGGGGTCAGGCAGGCCGTGTGACCCCCCCTCGCCCCCAGGTTGGTGCGCGAGGTGACGGGGGTGAACGTCAACATGCGCGTGGGGATCCACAGCGGGCGCGTGCACTGCGGGGTGCTGGGGCTGCGCAAGTGGCAGTTCGACGTGTGGTCCAACGACGTGACCCTGGCCAACCAGATGGAGGCAGGGGGCAAAGCGGGGTGAGGAGCGGCGCCGGCGGGGTCGGCGGTCGGGGTCCCGGGAGGGGGGGCTCTACAGGGTGCCGTGTCTCCAGGCGCATCCACATCACGTGGGCGACGCTGCAGTGCCTGAACGGGGATTACGAGGTGGAGCCGGGGCACGGCGGGGAGCGCAGCGCCTACCTGAAGGAGCACAACATCGAGACCTTCCTGATCGTGGGCTGCAGCCAGAAGCGCGTCAGTCTGCGGCGGGGGGCTGGGATGCAGCCGGGACCCCGCGGCGGGGAGCTGAGGGCGGCGGGTGGGGGGCCGTGATGGCGGCGGAACGGGGGGCGGCGGCGTCCGGGTCGGGGCGGGACGGG